AGGACAAGTGCCAGCAACTTGAGAGGCTGAGGTAGGACAAGTGCTTGAGACCAGGAGTTCAAGGCTAGCCAGGGCAACATAGTAAGATCTCATCTCAAAATACAGAAATAAAGGTTGGAATTGTGGCTCAGTGGTAGATGCTTACCTAGCATGTATGAGGCACTGGGTTCAATTCTCAGCACCACAAAAAATGAATAAAATAAAGGTCCACTGACAACTAAAAAATATTTTAAAAAATAAAAAAAATTTAAAGAAATAAAACATAAATACAATAAAACATCAGAAACACTGAGCATTAGGATGTTCAATTTCTTTGTAAAAACCTAGCAAGAGTAATTTGAACCATGCTTGCTTCTTTTCATTGCATAATTTACAATATATAGCCAGCATCTTTTCCATTCCTTGGTGAACTTTCATAGTTCTTTATTCTAACTTTGCATCACTCCTAACATTTCATTCTTTGTGCTTTCAATATTGTGAAATATATCTGAGAATTCTTTTCATGCAAAGTCTTCTGACTATATTACTTCCTATAGAAGTATATATTATATACTTCCTATATATTACTTCACAATCGCCTAATGAATAGGTTCCCTTTCCCCTAAGCTCCTCTGGCTGCATATCTAGTCTGTCAAATGGTAGAAGCATCAACATGTCCCCAATCAGCTATTTCTTTTATAGCTCATTTATGTTCAATTTAAATTTCATTTTGAGCATTACCACATATTGTTTCTCTATTGCATTTTTACCTTTGATTGCCAATTCTTTAGTTCAATTATCAACTTTAAAAAATCATGTGGGTCAATGACAGAGAAGTAGGCAACACAACCACTCAATTTGCACACTGTACAGAAAGTAAATAGTATGCACAGGGATCAGTCGCTGACAGATTTTGAAAGAAGTGTTGTGACTGGTCACTAATTAAGGATGTGCACCTGTTATTTACATGTGATTTGTGAACTGAGGGCTTCCAGCTATTATTTTATTAGGCATGCACTCATAGTTCAGATCCTGTGGTACACTGAAATTAGAATCATGTTCTTGGGGGGGAAACTGATGAATTTAAACCACAGTTAACTGAACTTTTTAATTGTAGGAACCATGCAATATGAGAACTGCCTACAATATAACCCATTATTTTGATATTCTTTTCTATAAGACACTAATTATGAGTGTGACAAAAATATGAATGATTTAAGATTAAAACACGAGACTTCAATGAAATTGTGTTCTTCTTTCCTAGATTCCCAGATATGTGAAGTTGTTTTCTGTTATCAGGGAGACTTTGATAGTAAAATTTGAGAAGCTCAGCCCTATGGATAGAATGATCCCATACATGAGAATCCCACTTCACAGAATGGGCTTCTGGGGTACTTGGTCTATGTAGGCATAAGAAAATAGGCTGTAAATATCAGGAGAAAAAGGGTAAAAGGGATAAAGAAACCAGCCCCTACTATATGTAGACATGCTTCAATTTTATAACAGTTATACTCTTATTACAACCCTGACTGGCAGATATTGTTAATGATAAAAATACGTATAAGTTGAATTTGAGGCAAGGTCACCACATTAAGAAGTATGAAAAAATCTTAGGCTGGAGCTGAGGCTCAGCGTTGGAGTGCTTGCCTTTGAATATGTGAGGCACTGGGTTCGATCCTCAGCACCACATAAAAATAAGTAAATAAAATAAAGGTATGTGTCCATCTACAACAAAATATTAAAAAAAAAATAAGCATGAGGGGCTGGGATTGTGGCTCAGCAGTAGAGTGCCCACCTAGCTCGTGCAAGGCACTGAGTTCAATCCTCATCACCACATTAAAAAATAAATAAATAAAATAAAGGTAATAAAGATATTGTGTCCAACTACAACTAAGGAAAAAAATCAAAAAAGAAAAAGTATTAAAAATCTATGTTAACTCAACTCTAACTCCATTTACAAATAACATTCAGATATATGGGTAGTAAGAACAAAGGTAGAAGAGATGGACTTTTATGCTTGCCCTAATTTGAGAGCTAATTTTCCTCAATTTAGGAAGTTTTTTGTCTTCATAATGATTCTGCCAAACATTAACACTTACTCGAAGCCTTCTCAGAATCCCCAGGCTTAGGAAACTCTTCCTCAATATTTCACTAACAACTGTATAGCCCTCTACTAGATTTTCATCATCTTTTTTGCTTATATGGTTATAAGAAGTCAAATGGAGAGCAATAATTGCAGACAAGGCAATAGGGAACTGATTATGATTAACTTTTACTTGCATTGGGTTTAGTTTGCTCTTCTTTTTCCAGTATCTTTTTTTTTTTTTTTTCCTGGTGCTGGGGACTGAACCCAGCTCCTCATTTTTATGTAGGTGTTTACAACTATACATTTCCTGCTAAGCACAGCTTTAGCTCTAATTCTGTAAGTTTTGGTATATTAATTTTTCATTTTCATTTGTCTCAAAATATTTTCTATTATATTTCTTCCTTGACCCATTGATTATTTAGGAGTATTTGTACATAATTGTTAGCTGCACAAATGTCTTTGTTATTAATTTATAATTTTACTCCATTATAGCTGGAAAACATACTTTGCATATTTTTAGTCTTTTTAAATTTATTGAAACTTGCTTTTTGACCTACCATACAGTCTATCTTGGTCAATGTTCCTGTGTATTTGAAAAGAATGTGAATTCTGCTATTGAGAGAAGACATACATGTCAGTTAGTCAAATAAGTTGGTGGTATTTTTCATACCCTTACTTATTTTTGTCTATTTGTTCTACGAATTATAGAGGGAGATGTGATAAAATCTCCAGTTGTAATTGTGGATTTGCCTATTTCTTATTGCAGTTTGTCAACTGATAAACTTCATTTGTTTTGAAGCTCTATAAGTGCATACACATTTAAAACTACTAGGTCTTCTTGGTATATTGATCCTTAAAGATCATTATGTGATGCTCCTCTTTATCTCTGGTAATACTTTTTTTTAAAATTTTTATTGTTGTTGTTCAAAACATTACATAGTTCTTGACAAATCATATTTCACTCTTTGATTCAAGTGGGTTATGAACTCCCATTTTTACCCCGTATACAGATTTCAGCATCACATCGGTTACACATCCACTGTTTTACATATTGCTATACTAGTGTCTGTTGTATTCTGCTGCCTTTCCTATCCTCTACTATCTCCCATACCCTCCCCTCCCATCTTCTCTCTCTACCCCATCTACTGTAATTCGTTTCTCCCCCTTGTTTTTTTTTCCCCTTTCCCCTCACTTCCTCTTGTATGTAATTTCGTATAACCATGAGGGTCTCCTTCCATTTCCATGCAATTTCCCTTCTCTTTCCTTTTCCCTCCCACCTCTCACCCCTGTTTAATGTTAATCTTCTTCTCATGCTCTTCCTCCCAACTCTGTTCTTAGTTACTCTCCTTATATCAAAGAAAACAGTTGGCATTTGTTTTTTAGGGATTGGCTAGCTTCACTTAGCATAATCTGTTCTAATGCCATCCATTTCCCTGCAAATTCTATGATTTTGTCATTTTTTAATGCAGAGTAATACTCCATTGTGTATAACTGCCACTTTTTTTTTTTTAATCCATTCGTCTATTGAAGGGCGTCTAGGTTGGTTCCACAGTCTTGCTATTGTGAATTGTGCTGCTATGAACATCAATGTAGCAGTGTCCCTGTAGCATGCTCTTTTTAGGTCTTTAGGGAATAGACCGAGAAGGGGAATAGCTGGGTCAAATGGTGGTTCCATTCCCAGCTTTCCAAGAAATCTCCATACTGCTTTCCAAATTGGCTGCACCAATTTGCAGTCCCACCAGCAATGAACAAGTGTACCCTTTTCCCCACATCCTCGCCAGCACTTGTTGTTTGACTTCATAATGGCTGCCAATCTTACTGGAGTGAGATGGTATCTTAGGGTGGTTTTGATTTGCATTTCTCTGACTGCTAGAGATGGTGAGCATTTTTTCATGTACTTATTGATTGATTGTATGTCCTCCTCTGAGAAGTGTCTGTTCAGGTCCTTGGCCCTCTGGTAATATTTTTTGTCTGATATTAATACAGCTGCTCCATTTTTCTTGTGTTTAGTACTTGAATGGCATGTCCTTATATTTAAACTAAGTTTTTGTAGACCACATGGTTAGACTTTGTTTTACAACAAATCTGGCAATTTCTATCTTTTTAATTGCAGTGTTTGGACCATTTATCTTTAATGTAATTATCAATGCACTGGGTTTAAATCTACTAACTTGCCTTTTGTTTTCTTTGTCCCATCTATTTTTCATTCCTTTTTCTCTATCTTCTTTTGGATCATTTGGGTACTTTTTTTTGGGGGGGGGCAGGCACACTGGGGATTGCACCCAGGGGTTCTTTATCACTAAGCCACATTTCAGCCCCTCTTAAAATTTTTTATTTAGAGACAGGGTGTCACAAAGTTGCTTAGGGGTTCGATAAGTGGCTGAAGCTGGCTTTGAGCTTGTAATCCTCCTGCCTCAGCCTCCTGAGTCACTGGGATTATAGGCGTATGCCACCATGTCTGGCCGTTTGGGTACTTTTTACAATTTTATCACCATCATTGGCTTATTAACTACATTTTCTTATTTATTTATTTATTTAACTTCATTTTCTTATTTATTTATTTTTAGTGATTGTTCCATGATAGGGGCTGGCACACAATGGCACACAGGCCAAATCTGACTCACTGTTTTTGTAAATAAGGTTTTATTGAAACATGTAACCACCATACATTTGTTTATCTATTGTCTATGGATGCTTTCATGCCATAACAGCAGATTTGGATAACTATAAAAAAACTATATAACCTGCAAAACCTAAAATATTTACCATCTGAACATGTACAGAATAAGTTTGCTGATCACTGCTCTAAAACTTGAAAATTAAGATCTTGAAACAAATTGCATAATTGTACTCCAAATACAAAGTGTCTCAAACACTGACTTAGAAAGTCTATCCTCAGGAGATATCAAAGTCAGTTCCTCAGATAATTACTCACATTGTTTTCCTGGTTCTTGTTATTTTTCAAGAGTGTGATAATACAATTATGAATAAAGAAAGCAAGAGTAAGCACTCCAGTCAGCTGTGGGAACTGATATCTTATCTCTAGGAGAAAAAGAGACAGAAACAAAAAAGTTAAAACTGACAAGAAGAAAATGAGTATCAGTAGTCAATAAAAATCAGTTGTCTCTGTTTTGTCCAGGGAATAAGAATATTAAAATGTCTTTACAATGTTCCCAAGGTCAGTATTATACTCAAGCAAAGGAAGGAAAAGAATCAAGAAATGTCTATTCTGGGGCTAGGTTGTGGCTCAGCGGTAAAGCACTCGCCTAGCACGTGCAAGGCCCTGGGTTCGATCCTCAGCACCACGTAAATAAAATAAAGATACTGTGTCCAACTACAACTAAAAAATAAATATTAAAAATAAATAAAATAAAATAAACTTAAAATAAAAAGAAATATCTATTCTGTATAGGTACTTTATATCAATTATTCCTGATTGAAGTCACATGACTATTATATAGCTGAGCAGAATTCAAATTCAGGGTCTGACTCTAAAATCCTCTATTTTTCTAAGATCTGAATTTGCCAGAAAATTACTTCTAGAAAAGGATGGAGAATAAAAATGATCATTTAATATTTTTTGATGATGTCTAAAAAGCAATACTTAAGCTGGACAAGGTGGTGCATTCTTGTAATCCCAGTGATTTGGGAGTCTGAGACAGGAAGATAGCAAGTTTGAGGTAAGCTTCAGCAAAATAAAAACTAAAAACTTAAAAAAAAAGGGACTAGGAATGTGGCTCCATGGAAGAGTACCCCAGGGTTCAATGACTAGTACTGGAGTTGCATTGGGAGGATTGCTTAAGTTTTAGAAATAAATGTCTGCTTAGAGGGGACTGATTAGACTATGATAGAGTTGTATAGTGGTATACAATATTTAAAAATTATGTTGTTGAGGAAGATTTTTTTGTGGATTTATTTTTATTTTAAAAAATACATGTGTGAGGCTGGGGTTGTAGCTCAGTGGTAGAGTGCTTGCTTAGCATGTGTGAGGCACCGGGTTCCATTAGCACCACATAAAAATAAGTAAATAAAATACAGGCATAAAATACAATAACATTAAGGGGCTGGGGTTGTGGCTCAGTGTAAGAGTGCTTGCCTAGCATGTGTGAGGCACTGGGTTCAATTCTAGCACCATATATAAATAAATGAATAAAATAAAGATCTATCAACAGCTAAAAAAAATTTAAAAAAATTAAAAAAATACAAGAATGTACAGATGTATGGGCAAAGGAAGGATAAGAACCAAGAAATGTCTATTCTGTATAGGTATTCTGTTTTTGTAAATAAGGTTTTAAAACTTTGCTGTGACAGCTGTGGGTATACTACTCAGATCTCTTTTTGAGTGAGAATCGGAAACAAGAAATACAGTTAGCTGATGGCCTAAAGCTGCATGCCCTCATGGATCTGCTGCCCTGATCACGCACCAGTCATATTTTACTGGGCCTCGCTGAGCCAACAACTGAGCACAGCAGAGTACTAGGGCCTGACCACTTTTGCCTAATCCTGGATTTCTACACTGGTAATCTTTAACCAGAGGTTCACATTTGGGTTGTCTAAGACTTTCTGAATCTATTTCTGCTCAGTCCATCTCCTTTCCTTCTCTCCTTTCATAGAGCTCTGAGTCACACTGTGGTCCTACTAGTCACCTATGTCTCCTGCTCCCCTCCCCCAATCCCTTTATCTTTCATTAAGGGCTACCACAATAAATTTCTTATACTTCTCACTCCATATCTGTGTTTGCTCGTAAGAGAACCTGAACTGACAAGAGTTCGTATTGGAAGTGATGTGATAAAGAGGGCAGTAAGAAGGGATTTGGGTCTTGGGTCAATTATTCAACTTTCAGTTATCATCCATGCTGACCTCATGCTATCTTCCAAGGTTCTCAGAGTGTTTTCACTATCATTATTTTGAGGGATACTGTGTTAATTTAGAGAGTGGATAAATGAGGCTATAGTACTTCTGACCTTTTCCTTCTTTTTGGTATTATTGGACTGCAGCAGTTCTATTATGAGTTCTGTTTATGGGCAGGGAATTACAGGACTGACTATCTTTAAGTCTCCTGAAGACAGAAGCCCATCTTCCAAGTAAGGAGGAAGGACAGTCTTATAGCTGGCCTCCAAAGTTATTTTTAGTTTTAAAAGAGAAGGCTTTTTGTGCTGGGACGTTGGCTCAGTGGTAGAGAGCTTGCCTAGCATGCGTGAGGCACTGGGTTTGATTCTCAGCACCACATACAAATAAATAAAATAAAAAATTTCATCAACAACTAATAAAAATATTTTTTTAAAAAAGAAGGCTTTTCATGATTGAGCTTTTGCCTTTTAGCGCTTCCTTTTTCCCTATTACTTCCTCAGCAAATATTCTTTCACTAGCCATTCAAATCCTCATAATTTCCTAAATAAGTCATGTTATTTCAGGCCTTAACTGTTGCTTGAACATGTTGTTCCCATGACCTGGCATATTCCTGTCCCCCAGTTCTTCTCTTAGAGAACTCCTGTTGGCTGGCCCTTTAAAAAATTCCCTTTTGAACCCTTTTCTGACCCCTAACTTATTTATAAGCAATTCTTCTATCCTGTTATATCTACTGTGCATATCTTTGTATTATGATTGTTAATTCACAACAATTAATTGATCTTAATGCTCAGCTGTAATCTCATGGAGGGCAGTGGATCCTCTCTATTATTACAGTTTGTCAAGTATTAGGGGTACTCATTTATTCTTAAGAACTGAAGGACTCTCAGCCATGAGAAATGTCCAAATTCTATTTTAAACTGCTTTTAGAATGATTTTGATTTTTGCTAAGATTTATCAGTTTTCAATAAACTCTTTTTCAATTTGGCTGACCTTGTCTTTCAGAGCAGCCAGCCTCTATGACTTCTAAGTCATCTTGTGAAGTATTTGTTAGTTGGTCCTTTGCCACCTTTTCTAATTAATTCAGATGATATCACTTCTATGTTTCTAACTTGTCAAATTACAGTGGTAAATATCCAGCTTTTTGCAATTAACTAAACAAATCACTTTTCAAATAAATTTCTTGAAAACCTGAGATTCTCTTAAGTATACATTTCACTCAAATGAAGTATACAATTAAATAGTTTTTAATGTGTTGACTGAGTTGTGCAATCATAACCATAGCACTTCCTTTCTATTGTACGGATATACAAATAATAGTCCATTGTATGGATATACCACACTTTATTCATTCATCATTGAAGGACATGGGATCATTTCCACTTTTGGCTATTATGAAAAATGCTGCTATGAACATCCATGTACAAATTTTTGTGTAGAAAACATGCCTCTTTAAAGAAAACAACATTTACATTATAATAAATTAAACTAGTAGGTTCTTCAACAAAGTGGTTTTAAAGAAGCCCCAAACATCTGATCTTTACAAACTGTTTATTTTATCCCTTTGGAAAAGCATATCAAGAGAGAATGTAAGCAGGGGTTGGGGATGTCGTAGCTCAGTGACAGAATGCTTGCCTAGGATGCGCAAGGCCCTGGGTTTGATTTCAAACTCTGTGGGGGCGGGGTGGTGGTAAGTGGGAGGGAGAATTAATATGGGTGCATGCAGATAGGGAAAAGATAATTGCCATATGCAGAATGTATAAAGAACTTGTATAGATTAATAAGAAAACCCCAGACAACTAAATAGGGAAATGAGCAAAGTCTTGAAAAGGTACCTCACAAAAGAGGAAATCCAAATAGCCAATGAACATATGAAAAGGTGCTAACTTCGTTAGTCATCAGGGAAATGCAAATGAAAACCACAAAGTAATATCAGCACTTGCCCACCAGAAAGGGTAGATGAAAAACACAGAAAATAAAGAATTAGTGAAGAGTGAAACAACTAGAACTCCCAAACACTGCTGGTGGGAATGTCAACTGGTACAAGCACTTTGGAAAACTGGTTGGCAGTATCTACTAAAGCAGAACATACGCATACCCTGTGACCTAGCAACTCTACTCCTCCACTGGTACTCAAAGCAGCCCTATGTTCACCAAGACTCAGATGAGAATGAAGAGTGCAGCAATAAACCTGACAGTTAAAAACTGGTAAAAGATGAACTGTGGTAGACAAGCAATGAAATATCAATGAGAATGAACTATAAGTATGTGCACTAACAGGACTCACTCTCACAAATAACCAGACCTCAAACAATAATACTGTATATTCCACTTATATAATGTTTAAAAAAGCAGGAAAAACTAACATTTGGTGTTAGAACACTGGTTACAGGAAGATAATGACTGGTGGGAGGCCAATAATTTCTGGTTTCAATCTCAGTGCTATAGCAAGTGCTCAGTTTGTGAAAATTCAATAAGTTTTACATTTATGAGTTCTACATTTTTGTACATAAAAGTTCCACTTCAAAAACTTCAAAAGAAAAAAAAGGGAGAGAGGGCATGGCACACATCTAAAAAACGAGTAGAGAGAAGTTTTGTTATATTTGGAGGCACTATTAGTATCAATGAATGGTAAAATGTAATCTGATCTGCTCTGAACTATTTGAAACATATGTGAATAGAAAATTATTTTTTCCTAGTGACAGAGGAACATAATACTGCTATCAAAATGGCAAATTACTCCATCATCCTTGAAATTCAGTGTCTGAAGTCTCTTTGAAGTCAGTTTCAAAGCATTGTACAATTTTTTATCTTAGAAATGTCATTTAAATTGCATTTTAAAATTCTTATTGACTAGAATTCTCTTGCTTCATATCTTCTGTCCCAAGCCAGCCATGGACTGTGTGTGTGAGCTACAAGCATTTGAGCACATGAGGGAACTGGACTGACATTGCTGCTCTGTCTGGGCTGTCGATGTATGTGTCTTTTTCACTTGCTCTGTCTTTGATCCCACACAGCACCTGAGATGGGTGGCTTTACATCACTGAACCCCAAGAAAATGATACTTTCTGTGCCTGTGTGATTTGTTCCTGCCAGCCCAATTCACCTGGAGTGACCCTGACTGATTTAGTTGCATGTCACGGCAATCTTTCCTCCTAAATTCTGTTTCTCAGAGGCAAGGAATTTTAATTCTT